CTAGGAGATTTACATTTATTAAGTGCAAAGAATTCGCATAAGTTTGCTATTACTTGGTTTATGCATTGAAATGTTTTATGCATGTGAAAACCCGTGAACTCACCAACTCTTTGTAGTTGACCTCATTTTTATTTCCGTGCTTTTCAGGTTCTAAGTAAGTGGTTTGGATTTTTAAGGGAGYATACTTGAGYYARGATCCATTAAGTCAAGTTTTTGATGTATTTGTGAACGTTGTGTAAATTCTAACTCCTGTTATGTCGATGAATCATTTTATTTTGAACAACTTGAAATAGTGTTATTTATGAACAGTTGCTATGACTCGCTTGCCTGTTACATCTTGTGATTCCGCTTTAGCGGGGTGTGACAGTAGCAAAGGACAAGTCTTTCTCTAAAGGCTTAACGAGTGTTCAAACCCCACTACGTTGCATTAAATGTGCATTTAATGCAATGGGTATAAATAGATGTGTTATATCTCCATGCAGAGACACTGCTACTTACTCGTGAACCTTAACTTACGTGCATAAGTAAAAGAACACACATCTAAGAACACAATACGCCCATCTTCAAAAAAAAGTTAGAATCCCTTTTAGTATTCTAAATAGTTCTTACCGAGAAATAACTTAATTCCTTCTAAGTCTTAAACAACAAATCATTTCTCTTTGCTAAGAACTAGTGTGTAACTTAGATTGTTTAGATAGGTTATATTTACCTTATCTTTCTGCAAACAATCTTGTAAAATCTGTATTATTTTTCTTTATCAAGAAATATTTGAAATTTGAAAAGTTCACTGTGTTTGTATTTATCTCCCCCTTCTACAAACTATTATACACATCTTGTAGACCCAAAGAGACCAACAATTTACTTTTGTCTTTGCATCCTGAACTCAAAAGTGTTCCTTCAAGATGAGTCTTAGTGGAAGAGTACTGAGAGAAAGAGGTGTTAGAAATGGAAGAGACAAATGTACCAAACTTAAGCATGGACTTGTCAATGACACATGCTTCTTGATCGTAGAAGAATCCTAGACCACTCTTTATCTTGGCAGGTATCTAAGCATTGATGATCTTAGAGGCCTTGATAGAGGCTTTGCACCACCCTTCAATGGTAGCCTTCTCAACCTTGAGTTCAACAATTGCTTGCAGACACTCAGCGATAGCATGCTTGCGTTCAATGCTAATGGTCTGGTTTACAATGACCTGATTCTTAAGATTTTCCTCAATCTCAGTCAGCTCCTTGATCTTTGAATGGCATCTCTCTAATTGATTTTGTAGATCAAGATTAAGCTTTTCAGCTTTGGATTTGCCATTCAGGGCATTGTAAAGGTCAACTGTCAGTGTATTTAATGCAAATAGGCTATCAGAAGAAAAAGAATAGGGTTCATTCATGGTACAATCCTGAGCAAAGGTTGATGATGAGGGATCATTGAAGGATGATGTCTCAGATGGTTCATCTTTGCCATCCTTGGCTATGAGGGAAAGGTAAGTTGTGTCTTCCTAATCAAAGGATGATTCATCAGAAGAATCAGCCCAGTCATGCTCTTCAGCGACAAGACCTTTGCCTTTACGATGAAGATTCTTCATCTTTTTGTACTTCTCCTTCAATTATAGGTACTTATCCTTTTGAGGCCTTAAGAAGGATGAGAAGTTGAAAGATGTTGTCGCAGCTTTCTTCGACTTGCATTAACTTCCAAAGTGACCTTTGCTTTGACAGTTGTAGCAGCTTGCTGAAGCCATGTTAATGGGGTTTGACTTTGGATTTTCAGCTATGGTCA